TGACTACATTCATGAGTGGCCTTTGGCCTGCCCATCAGGCTTCCAACATAAAGGCAGGATTTTTATTTATTAATTTGCTAAAGGGTACATGTGCTAACTGGAGAGACAGAAAGAAGGAGTGAGTGTGGGAGAGAAAGCACCTCTCATGGGGAACGGTCACACCACAATCATCTCTTCATTCTCTTTTTTAGACTCAAACCATGCAATGAGCCACCTGGGATCCAGATACCTTACCCACCACCCCACCAGCTGGCCAAGAAGAGACTTTTTATTTTAACAAAGTCCTTCTGGCACTTATTTAAACCACATTAGGCAAGGTACTAAGCATTATACTCCTGGACAGCTCAATTCTATGTCACTTCATGTAATTATTACAGATTCTTGTTATTAAATAGGCAGTAACAGATTATAAACCTTTCTCACATTTAGTTTTTATGATTACTTGAATAAGAAAATCCATTCAAAGTAATATGGTTTAGTGAAAGGAATATTACAAGGCAAATCAGGACACAGGCTCCAGTGGCAATAATGTCACTGATAGCTCACAAGAACAGGGTTCTTTTTTGGAGAGAAGGTTTGTTTTTTGTTTTTTGATTTTTTTTTTAATTTGTTTTTGTTTTTGTTTCCTATAGGGCATGTGCACTCGCCAGAAAGACTGAGAGAGACAGAGAGACAGAAAGCGAGAATTCACCCCCGAGGGGGGATGGCCACACCACAATCCCTTCTCCTCCATTCTCCTTTCGAGATCTTGGGCACACATGTACATACGCCCAGCGTGAGTTTAAGTCACTGGGTCTGGGACTTGAACTGTGGTCAACTCCATGTGAGCCCAGTGACATAGTCATTATGCTATCTGCGGGAACAGGATTCTTGACAATTAGTTTTTAACCTCATCTAATTCTGACAATCTATTACTGTGCATCTCTATGTAAAAGTATTATATAGCCTAGACCATCAGGTTGCATGGAGGTTCAGGTGGCTGGACCCCACATGGGTGACTGCATGGTTCAAGTCCAAACTGCAGCTTGAAAAACACTCCAGGTGCATGTGCGTATATTCCCAAAACTGTGAGAGGAGACTAGAGGGGAAGGGATGTGGCATGGCCATCCCCCCTTTGGGTGCTCTCTCTCTTTCTTTCTCTCTCCATGCCCTATAGCAAACAAACAAAAAACTTAAAATTAATAAATAAATTAAAATGCTATCTTGCTTGGAAATATGTCATATTCCTGAGGTCAGATACACACTCTCAGTACTCTCCTGTTGGTCCTGAAGATTTAAGTCCCATGCCTCTTGGTTCCTCAAGGCTAAAAGCACCTGCCACAATGAAATACTCCCCAAGGCGATAATCACCAGAGGAGTCTTTGATTCTAATGCCCTTCCTCTCCTTACCTGATGGAGGGAGGCTGACAGCAAGTGGTCCTGTACATTTCTTGAGCCCGTCAATAAACCATATTTAACATACTAGTGCTTTATGGGGGTCTTTCATATGACTTGCAAGTTTTATTTGTTCTGAAAAAAAAAAAAAAAAACTAGAGAGGTTTTGCTTTCAAGCTTTTTACAAAGCTACAGAATAGTCATCATTCCAGTGAGTCTTTCTAAAATGTGATTGTTGTAAGAGAAAGTCTCCGGCATGCATTTCTATAAAGATTTTTCATTTTCTATAGCAGCTTTTTTATGAATGGTGACAATAGGAAGGAGAGTGAACACATGAAACAAGAGACTGGAGGCAAAGAACTACTCGTGGTATAAGACTCAGTAGTTGTTCAGTCTTTCACCCGTTTTCTAACATTGAGATGATCTAATAAAATTGTTCTAGAACGTGCGTGTGTGTGCGTGCCCAAGATCCCGAGAGGAGAATGGAGGAGAAGGGATTGCTGCGTGACCATCCCCCCCTGGGGGGTGATTTCTCGCTTTCTGTCTCTCTGTCTCTCTCTGTCTGTCTGGCGAGCGCACGTACCCTATAGCAAAAATCTCTCCAAAAAAAAAAGAGAGAGAGAGAGGAAAAAAAAATTGTTCTAGAACTAGAAAATTTAGGAGGATATTGAACTGACTTTGTACTTTACCTCTCAAGTTCAGCCTGGGTTTCCTTCAGCCCACTTCCTCCTGAGAGTAATCTTGACCACTTCCAAAGCTACATGAAGTAGCATGTAGACCTAAAGAACCATAGTCTTTCTTTAGATTGTACTGCTATTTGCCAGCTTTATATCTCAGTGTTGTGGAGGCTGGCTGGTAGCATGGTGGTTAAGGATGCTAAACTCCCACGTAGTTGATCACAGTTCAAGTCCCAAATCTGGCAGCTTGCTTCCACTTTCCCTCTTCCTCGCTCTCTCTCTCACTCTGTCCCTTTCTGGTCAAATTTTTAAAATAAATAAATAAATAATAAAAGTTAAAGAAAATAATTATTAAAAAAAAAAAAAACTCAGTGTTGTGGCATCTGATCTGCAATCCAGGGTATAGTAAATACCAAGAGGCCTTCAGAGTACTCTACACCTTGGCCTGCGTCAGGTAAAGGTAATAGCAGCACCAGCATCACTGCTATTGCCCTCCCTAGATAACCACCAACCTCACTAGTGCAATATTCACTCTGGCCAGCATCACTATAATTTGTAACAAGTAAAGGGAGACAATGCTAACTTTATAAACTAAAGTTAAAATAATTTTTAAGTTTACTTATTTATTCCATGATTGAGGGAAGCACACAGAGAAAGAGACAGACAGAGATTCAGAACCCCCAACAGAGCCGTGACGCCATGATCCACCCCCAGCTTCGGCCAGCCTGGATCATGGGCAGACATACCCAGCAGACTTGGACTTCTCCAGATGTGAACTAGTAACCTTCCCATGTGGTTTGCCTCACAGTATTATGTATTATCTGCTGTGCCACATGCCAAAATTAAGTTAACAGTTAGTAAAACTGGAAGTTGGCCCTGTAGTGCAGTGGTTAAGTGCTGTGCGTAGGAACTAGACCCCATATGGCTGACTGCAATTCGAATCCTGGCCCAGGGACTCAAAATGTACATGTGTGCTCATGCCCCAAATTCTTACAGTATAAAGGAAAAATAATTGTGGTATGACCATGCCCCTTTGAAGGATGCTTTCTCTCTCCCCCCCTCTCTCTCTCTGACAGACAAATGTACATTCTGACCATAAAAAAATCATTTTTAACAAATGTGAGATTTCAATGGACTTAGGAGAGAAGATGGACAGCAATCAATCAGCAGCAAACAAAGAGTAGAGTGGATTAAGTAGAATCAAGAGACATCAAAGTGGTGATCATCAAGTAAAAAGTATAAGTCACCTGGTGTCACTAATTAGAAGTGAAGGAGAAAAGAGAATTGACAAATTTGCCAACCTGCCAGCAGCCTGTGTGTCTCATGGCCAAGTGATGGAGAGTGGAAGAAAAGGATTATATTTTGCGTTTAAAAACATATTTCTCCCCTGGGAAAGATAATGTGATGGCATATGAAGTCAGTTCAAAAGAAGCCTGTGATGTTTTCCTTCTCATAAAAAAGAAAGCAAATTATTCCACTCAAGTGCAACTGAATCAAGTCTGAACTTCCTGAACACGTATCAGCTGATAAACCAGGATTTAAGTTCAAGGATACATTCCATGTCTAATCTTCATTTTACAACTTTGGGAGATAAATTTTCCTTAGAATTGAAATCTTTCAAAGACAGCCTTTCTTGCAAAACAAATTGTTGGAAGCATGCAGCAAATTGGCCAGATGCCTCTAGGGCATAAACTGTTATTAAAAATGAGGTAAGGGCCAGCCATGGTGGCACACCCTGCTAGAATGCTCGGCTCCTCAGGCTGGGACCACATAGGAGACTCATGTTTGATTCCTGGTCCAACTTAAAGGCCAGGCAGCCCCAGTGGCATGTGTCATGTTTCCAGCCACTCAGGGAGCTGAGTCAGGAGGATCAGGAGCTGAAGGCTGGCCTAGGCAGCCAAGTGAGATCCTATGTGAGCCAGCCGGTGGTGTGGGCTTAAGGCAGCTGGATCCCACGCGGCCAGCATCACAGTTTGAATCCCAGATCTGGCTGTTTGAAAAACGTGCTAGGCACATGTGCTTACATAACCAACATCTCTAAAGGAGATGGAAAAGGGACTGTGACAAGGCCATCCCTCGGAGAAAGAGGGTGATTTCTTACTTTCTTTCCATCTCTCTGTCTCTGTCTCTCTCCAGCAAGCACACATGTGCTATAGCAAACAAACAAACAAAAAGCCTGACTTGCACCTGTAGTACCAGCTGGGAGTCTGAGGCAGGAGAACCACCACAATGAGACCTCATCTTAAAAGAAATTTTATAAAAAGCTTTCAAGAGCTGTCTCATTCTTTCAAACCATTAGTTCTTTTTATTTAGTGCTTTGAAACAGTCATGTTCCAACTGAGTTTGATTGTTTTGTTTTGTTATTGAAAGGGTTAATACAGCTTCTCAAAAGTGCTTCTCCTCTCACAGAATACAGTTTATATTTTGGGAGAATTTGGCACAGCTTAAATTACAGCCTAACTGACTTGCTCAGTAGAATCCAACAATAAGTCATTTCCCTGCCCATTTGTCCCTACATGTTTATTAGCAGAGACACACAGTTTCCAGAGGGAAAAAAAAAAAAAACCAGCGTTATTCACATTAATCAGCTTCCTTCAAGACCTCACATCAACATACCTAAATGACAGTTTTCTTCACATTGTGCTCCCAAACTGGTAGCCATCCGTTACACAATTTTAGAAACACCCCAAAGTTCTTTATCTACCTAAGTAGCCCTTCCAAGCCTAAATGAATCACTGCAAGATAAATGGACACAGGACTTATTTATCGCTTGTATTTCTCTGAAGAGAAATAACTGCTGGGCATGAAAACCAGCTTGAGGCATGAGGTTAGTTTTGTTCCCTTCCAGAATTGCTATTTTTATGTTTCTGACATTGAGAAAATACAAGGACAGCAGAAATCTATTCAATGATATTACTGTAATTCATTGCTATTCTCCCCCCCAAACAGCCTGAACAGCCAGTGTATCAACTACAGTGCTGCAGAGGACCAGACCTCCACCCGCCAAAAACTGGAGTCTAACAAGAGAAGTCTTTGCAGCTTAATATCCTGGTATGTGGAGAGACCATAGTTCAAAATGTTAATTGTTCCCCTATTCCAGAGCCCAAGTAAATAAATTATTTGTGGTTATTTGGGAAATTTCTCAGTAGCTACGCACACACACACACACACACACACACACACACACACATACACACACACACACACAGAGTCCAGAAAAGACTGACCAATGCCCATTTTAACATAGTTCTTGAGTCTAAAAATAACTTTTATGTCTTACCAAGTCTGAGAAAAGGGAGGACAAATCAAAGAAAACTAGCATGGGAATCACCGGGCACGTTCTGAACAGCTTCATGAGTGTCCTTAATGCTGTCTCGGATCTCAGGTTAAATGGTTATACTTTCTGTGTTGTGGTCCCGGGTCATTTGTGCATGAAGACAAAGGCAACTTCAACTTGATAGTTCTGTCATCCCTGCAGTGAGAAGAGTCCTTTTCCTGGTTTATAACATCAATCACTCTTGCCATAAATCTTGGTAGTGGATATGGTCATTTAAATCTCCACCTGCACAAACAACAGAAAATAAGAGCTCATAAATCTCGGCGCTGGTGATTAACAAATTTTGGATCCTCGGTGAAGATATTACGGGGGAAGGGTTCACGAATTCATTAATAAAGACTGATTTGCTGACAATCTGTTTAGTTTACAGCATCGGGGGAAAGCAAACAAGACCCTGCTAACAAAATAAAATGTTGGAGGTTAGTGAATTCCCAGCTGAGCCCAGGGTTAGAGATAGGATATCTTAATGTGGGAGAGGGGTGCAGATGGAGCCAAACACTCAGAAGTCACTCATCTTCAATGCCTAACTATTATATAAGGAAAGAAAACTTGGAGACGAGCCAGTAAGAGAGACTCATGTATTCAGTCTTCCTGGTTTCACTACTTCAATTTTATCAGATCCGTAGGTTGGTGTTCCCTGTTCTACGTATTCCCCAGAAGATTTTCTGTTCTCCAGGAAACATGGTCCTAGCTGGGGTAAAAGGATGGAAAAGAACTTTCCCTCCAGGGGCCATCCTGCTTTGTGTTTTGCCATGTCTGTGTCCCAAGAGAAATCCTAGCAGCACCAAGGGTAGAAGGGAAGAGAAAGTTCACAGCACTGGGCAGAGGATGCATCACAAGAAGTCCCAGGCTTAGTAGCTAAGACTCTTAGAGGATAGTAAACGCACTTCTAGAAAGCAATTCAAAGGCATGTTTTCATTTCATTAAGAAAAGATCATTAACGAACAAAATACCTCCCCCACGCTCATAGTACCAGATCTTGTTTCCTACCTACCCTCACTGCACTGTGTGTGGCTGTGAGTGGCCCAGCGTGTCTGTGTGCACTTCCTCCATATCTCTGAAGTGCCCAAGTGCTGTGGTATTTTTTTTTCCTGCTTACATCTGCCATACCATTAAAAAAAAAAATCTATGAAGCACTCGTTTTCTTAATTCCCACTTCCAGGTGAAGCAGGAAGGTATCTTAGTAAAGTCTTGGAGTCTCATGGGGTGTTTGCAGGGGGCACTTGATATCTGCCTGGATTGTAATTGGTGTTCTCTTAGGAGGAGGAAGCTCATACAGTGCTTGTGAGACTTGTGGATGGAAGGCCCAGAGAGAGCAAAAAGACCTGATCCCTTCTCTGAAGTTCTCAGTAACAACCGGCAGTCAACTCTCGAGAGGGGAAGAGGGCCTTAAGCGATAGGGGAAAGAGGGCCTTAAGAGATAGGCTGGCTATGGCGCTTGCTCTTCTTCAGCCCGGGCCAGAGTGGAAGAAGGTGACTGGTGTGAGCATTGCATTTGAGTTGATTTACATTAAAAGTTGGAAATGAGGATCTATGCGTGAGAATTTCCCTCTGGTTGTGAAAGGGGTCTAAGAGCTTTGCTGGGCCTCTCAGGCCCCTCCCCTGGGCTGCAAGGATCCGCCTCTCTATTCCCCAGATAAATTCCTAGTGTCCACCAAATTCCTCAGCACTCTCTCACACTCCTCTGAGCCACGACTCCGGGGCTGGGGAAGTAGAGTGCCTGTTTACTTCCCCGCAGAAGTCCTGGCGGTTCCTCCTCACAAGTCTGCGGAGGGGAAAGAGGTGTGAGAACCAACCAGCCAGACCCCAGTTCCCAACTCCCAACACGAGGCGGCTGCTCCTTACCCGGGAGACCCATTAGGTTTAGGGTCTCTCTCTCTTCCTCTCTCTCTTTTTTTCTCTCTCTCACCCTCTTTTCCAAACATGTCCACTGGCTCCCTTAGTGATGTGGAGGACCTTCAAGAAGTGGAGATGTTGGAATGTGATGGGCTGAAAATGGACTCCAACAAGGAGTTTGCGACTTCCAACGAGAGCACCGAGGATAGCTCCAACTGCGAGAATGGGTCTCCCCAGAAGGGCCGCGGAGGCCTGGGCAAGAGGAGGAAGTCGTCCACCAAGAAGAGTCCCTTGAGTGGAATCAGCCAGGAGGGGAAACAGGTCCAGCGCAACGCGGCCAATGCGCGCGAGCGAGCCCGCATGCGGGTGCTGAGCAAGGCCTTCTCCAGGCTCAAGACCACCCTGCCTTGGGTGCCCCCGGACACCAAGCTCTCCAAGCTGGACACACTCAGGCTGGCGTCCAGCTACATTGCCCACTTGAGGCAGATTCTGGCTAATGACAAGTACGAGAACGGCTACATTCATCCGGTCAACCTGGTGAGTTGTCCCGCGCAGCTGTGGGCGCGCGAGGCTGGGATTTTGGGGGGTGGGAGAAATGGGCAGAAGCGGAGGCGACTTACACACCTCGGTCTCCCCGGGCCTAGCGCCTGTAGGGACCGAACGCAGAGGGTCCCCACACGGCCCTTGCTCTTTGCCCTACTTGCCACCAAAGCGCCGAGTGATTTATGTGACGGTTTGACGTGGCAACCCAATTAGGGTTTTGCAATTGTATTAAACTGGCTAGGAGGAGGGCTTCCCCGCGCCCGCGCCAGGGCCACCACCGCTGCCTTGGAGAGGCTGATTCAGGACCCGAACGCTGACCAGATGCCACCCTCCCACAGCCCAGGCTGCACTTTTTGAATCCCTGTTTTTCTTCTTTTAGCTGAGAATGAAACCTGGTTTTCTCCTCGAATTCTCATAAATAAAAACACCCAACTGTTCCTCTCCAAGCGTATTTAGAGCTTTAGATATGGACAAATTCATGGTCCCCATAATTATGCCTATAAACCCCCCAACTGCTTAAATAGTCTATGCTTCTCCCATAGGTGGACTCGCATTTTTAAAGCTCAGATGTGCTAGCTAATGTCAGCGTGACCCGAATATGAGTGTAATAACTTTTAAAATAGTTTACTCTCCTCCAGGATTTAAGAGTGGTGCCTTTTATCTTAAAAAGTATGTCTGCAGAGCCCAATGTTTCTCAGATCCAAACACAATGCTCCTTGAGTCTACTCTATTTAAGTGTGTTTTGTTGTTTAAGCAATAGATCTTTTTAAAAGAAATATGTCTTAATTCCTTCTTCATTTAATTTCATTTTAAAACTTCTAGGCTTCAAAGAAAACCAACACCAGCAGCTCACTAAGACCTGTTTATTTATGATAAGAACAAGAGGTTTTCGTTCTAAAAGTCAAGTCTTATCAGCCAGTGCTAGTGAGAGAGGATCGGATTGTCTCCTTCCCGACTTGGACTCAGAATTGGGGGAGGGGATGCAAAACCACACTTTGCTGTAAAAAAATCGTTTTCTTCCATTAAAAGTTTAGTTTTAATGAGTAAATAGCTTTTTTTAAATCTAGAACTAAAATGAAAGTAGTGCCCAGAGGGTTTACAATTGCAGCTGCCTTGATCTTTAAATAAGAAACTTACATGAGCTTTATTATAAAAGAGTCTGGAGAAAGAAAAAGAAACCTATGATTTCTCAGCCCAGAGGGAAGACAACCTTAAATAAAATGACCGTGTATTTTCTATTAGACTCTTTTCCCTTAAGAGCCAATGATTCGTCTAGAATCTGTGAACAAAGCTTGGATTTTGATGAAGAAAAGAAAAGTTGGCTCTGGGGAAATAGGTGGGAGAAAAGGTGGGAGAAAAGGCGAGAGAGCCCTGAAACCGGACCACAGCGTCAGGAGAGGAGCCTGGAGGGCTCTGGGCCGCAGAGCCTTGCCCAATAGGCACCAGATCCTACTCGGGGCCCTCTGCTCAGGCTCACTAGAGCATCTGCCTCTGGGCGGTGCCCCTCCACAGCCACTGCTGGTTTTCCCAGGTCTTCCTCTCTTGGGTTGCACTTTACACCCGGGTTGAGCTCATTTCCCTCAAATTCCAAAAGCCCACCACCACCTAGAGTTGTAACTTGGCGCCAAAGCAGCGTTTGGCTTTATCCAGCCGCAGTACAAAACGCAGTAGGACAGAGTGAGCTGCAGAGACAACCGGTCTCCCTAACTCCCTGCCCGCCGCCACCGCACTCTCTCCTTCACTCTCAGCCTCGGAGTCCACCCCACTCCCTCCTCCACCGCCACTCACCTCTTCCATCCTCTTCTCTCTTGCAGACGTGGCCCTTTATGGTGGCAGGAAAACCCGAGAGTGACCTGAAAGAAGTGGTGACCGCGAGCCGCCTGTGTGGAACCACCGCGTCCTGACCTTGGAGGTGCGAGTCTGGGAAGGGCGCGCTCCCGGGGGGAGCGGGCCCCGGGAAGGCGACCCCTGCCCTCCCTGCTCTCTGTCTTCGCTTTCCCCGGCAACGCTCCTCTCCCCAGCCTACCCCGCCAGAACACTACAGCGACGAGGAGATTCCTTTCCAAACCCGAGGAGGTCAACTGTACTTACAGAGATTCCCATCTATTTAACTTTATTAACTTCTACCGTGAATGACTCTGCGAGCCTTGCTGGTCCAAGTGCAATATGTAATATAAATAGATAAATACCTATCGATGTGTATCTTTTGTACAGTATGTTGTAAAATGTAGATCATAGAATAGCTGACTTTGACAGTCACATTTATAAAGTAATTCACTTAAAGATATATATTTTTTTCAAACAAGTTTTGCTACTTTCGAAAATAAATCTTTCTTTATATTGCTAAAAGCCCTGACATTAGTGTGATTATTTTTTTTTTTATGGGGATGGAAAAGTGGGAAACGATGGGGACGTTTGGTACTACAAGTGGTTCTTTTCAACCTCAACCTAAACTTCTCCTAGCGATAGAAAAGAATTACATACGATTTCCACTATGTGTGCAAGTCACTCTTTGTACTGAAACGTTAAAAAGAAACTCTGAAGCTACTGAATTGTAAGACCATTAGAAATAATGTCGCTGGAAACAAAAACTAGCTAGAATTAAAGTATTCACAATGTCACATTTCAGCCAGAAAGATACACCAGGAAAAGAATCCGATTTTCATGGTATTCCACACTATAATTGCCGACACGACCAGCAACCTAAACGCTTTCCAGGCGTGGACGCGATCCCGAACAGCCATAGTTGCCATCTAGAAAAGAAATTGTGGGAGCCACGAAATATAGAAATGTCATGACCCCTGGGATGTGTTTCACGATTTTCAAAGTGCTGTCTCTTACGTTATATATTTCTTAGGAATAACTGATCAGTTCTAATAATAAACGTGCATGCTTGCGTTTTGGTTGCAGCTACCCAGGGCATAGAGCTCCCGCCACGACTTCCGGCGGACTGGGCTTTAATTTAAACATCTTCCAGGCTACGGAACAGCTCATAGGGGAAGATTAAGTTGAGATAAACAGAGAGGCGCGGCGGAGAGGCCTGGGACCCGGCTCTCTCGCTGCCCCAGCGAAGCCCACGGCTGCCGATGCGCCAGATGCCACGGGGCTGTTTAATGTTCGGGGTTATGACCGCAGTGTTTACAAGACGTCTTCGGTTATTTATACTGTTATTCCTCGCAGAGGGCCTTGAGACTTCCGCCTGATTTGCTTTTTCTTTTCGATTTTTTTTTTCCTCCCTTTTTCTCGGTTCAGTTTGGTACCTGGAGGAAGAGCTTCCCCGCCTCTCTTCTCTGGCACGTACGTCTAACCAACCCCAAAGGCCGCTAACCTGCGGAGCCTTCCGCCGGGTCCTCCAGAAAGGGTCCCGCAATGCCTGTCCGGAATGGGGAGCCTCTGGGTCCCACGAGTTGTCTGCCAGTGATTCTACGTTACCGAGTGCAATTCTCCGTTCTTCCAGGGCAGAGAGCTTCGGCTACTCCCCATCCACGTGCTCCCCTTTGCACGTTGGAGAACTACTGGAGGTGGCAGGCTACCCTTCCAGCCGCCCACTCCAACTTGACTTTCATGACTGCTTTTTAAATTCTGGCCAGCGCTCCCCTCCCCGAACTGGCATGTTCCCTCACTTTTTTCAGAGGGACAGAGCTCGCCCTCGCTGATCTGATCCGGAGTTCAAGTCGGAGATGCAGATGTCTTCCAGAACTATTCAGATGTTTGCCTTTCACATTCAGGGAAAAGTTCCTAGCTCCCACTTGAGCTTTTACTGGAAAAGACTCGAAATTCTGAACTCCACTGAGGTGGCTTGGTGAAGAAGTAACTTCTGCTTGTTCATTCTCTGGCCACCACAAACTACACGAGGATTATTTTTAACTCCCCATGACTCCTACCTATCATTTGAAACCGTTGGTTTAGGCAGGAGGCTAAGAAAACAGAGAAGGTGAACTTCAGTCCGTGTTGCAGATCCAGCTAGCTGTTTTCTAAAAGGTCTGGGATGCTCAGCTTTCTCATCTCTGCAGATAGGGAGAAAGATCGGATAATGATCATAATAATCATGCTTCTACTTTCCCTTTTTCACCTCACAAAGCCTCCTCGGTGGGGCTGGAATGTGACGAGCTGTGCGAATACCTTTACAAAGGAAAGACAGGTTGCTTTTACTAAGTGGGGAGTAGCTGTCTGTGTCCAGACCCAAACCGAAAGTATCTC